TGTATATATATATATATATATATATGATTATATTTAAAAAATCGAAACCCACTGCCATCGAATCGATTCCAACCCCATCGAATTGATAGCAATCCTCATTGGGTTTCCAGGACTAAATGTTTATGGAAGTAGATTGCCTCATCTTCCTCCCATGGAGCAGCTGGTGGGTTTGAACCACTGACCTGCTGGTTAGCAGTCAAATGTCTTACTATGCCACCAGAGCTCCTATATAAATATATAGTGAGATTTATTTCAAGGAAATGGCTCACGCAGTTGTGGAGGCTGGCAAGTCTCAAATCCATGGGTCAGGTGTCAGGCTGGAGGCGTCGCCTGACTCACATGGTTGCTGGGGCTGACAAACCCAAAATTGGCAGGTCAGATAGCAGGCTGCTGGCCCATGTCCCGAGAACCAGAGGTCAGAAGATGGCGAGTGAGATCCAGGATCAAGAGAGGGTGAGCTTTGCTGGAACATCCATATATGTTGAAGCAGGCCGCATGCTCGAGGCACCTCCCCTTCCAACTGATTGGCTACTCACAGAAGATCACAAAATGAGAATGGTTACAAATCTGCCAAACCACTGAGATTCATGGCCTAGCCAAATTGACATATAACCTTAACCATCACAGGTAGTCTTTAAAAGTGTTTTTTCTGAAGCATTTCCCCATGGGAAGTGCTCAGTAAGTGCTTGGTGGGCAAGTAGGTGGGGGAAGTGAAAGCCATTTGTTTCATAATAAACCCAAAGACACAAGAGCAGGAAGCGGGGAAGTTTGGCCTCTGACTCCCCAGGGAAAGCACGGCCTTCCTCACCAGGAAGTTACCTGCTGGCAGCTGGTGAGCATGCTCTGTTTCAGCAGCTGGGTGGTGGTGGAGAATGGGGCACGGCAACAGCAAGACGTAGCTCCCCTTCCCGGCAGGGGTGTTTGAGAAGATTGTTGGGTGCTGAGTTCGTTACAACTCCTAGTGACCCCGTGTGCCAGCAGAACTACCTATGAGGTTTTCTAGGCTGTGATGTTTACAGAAGCAGGTCTTTCTCCCATGGAGCCGGTGGGCAGGTTCAAACCGCCAGCCTTTCAGTTTGCAGCCCGCCGCTCGATCATTTGCCCCACCAGAGCTCTCTCGGGGAGAGTTGCACCGATGACTGCAGGGGAGTTGTGGTCACACCATTTTCTAGGCAAAGAGCGGATGACCTTGATACAGGAGCATCGGCTGCAGGAGGGCGGGGTGCATGGTGTTTTTTTTTTTTTTTTTTTCCCAAAACTAATATCTAGCACAATGCTTGATAGTAAACCAAACACCCAAACCCACTGCCATCAAGTAGACTCCAACGCATATCAAAAGGATATTGTCAGGCCTTTGTTTTGTAGAGGCACTGGGTGGGTTTGAAGTGCCAACCTTTAGCAGATGCTAAGTAAGTGCTGGGAGCTCTGGTGGCATAGTGCCCAAGGCATCTGACTGCTAACCAGAAGGCTGGCGGTTAAAACCCACCAGCCACTCCTCAGAAAGGAGGTCGGGCAATCTACTTCCTTAGAGTTACTGCCTCGGAAACCCAAGGAGGGGTCACTATGAGTCGGATGCGACTCCACAGCAGTGGGTTTGTTTTTTTTTTTTGGAAGTAAATGCTGCCTCAGATGACCCATCTTTGCTTGCATGGAGAAGGTCAGCCCCTTTAAACCTCATCCTCCCTTCTTCTCTCCTGAATGGCAGTCATGGTTATTTATTGAGCTAGAGAGTTGCTGTCAAGGTGAAGTTTGAAGCTCCAGGATGCCCTCTGGTGAGTTTCCGAGTGGCCAGTTTGGAGGTGGGCATCTTGGGCTGAGCAGTAGTCTGCCCCAGTTACTAAGCTGTGCTCCTCCGGGCTCTCCCCCTCTGCCAGTACTCCTCTGCCCCTCCTTCCTGAGAGCCTGCCTGCCGTTTCCAGTCTTGACCCCTCCTCGCATCTCCACAGCTCCTCCTGCAGCACTGTTCTCACCCCCCCTCCCTTTTCCCCACTGGCTGGAGGCCCCCTCCTGGGCTGGCCTCATAATCCATGGGGAAGCCCCTGGATTTGGCAATTAAATCCCAGTCAACTGGCCAGAGGCAGAGTTGGAGGTGGTGCAGGCAAAAACCAGAGCTCTGGCTTCCAGAACAGGGTTGGACCTGGTGGAGCCTCTGGTCTTCCCTTTCCTCCTCAGCCTGAAGCCTTTGGCCGGATGGGTTTTGGGCTGGAGGCCAGCGATTCAACTGGGAGGGCTCCGTGCCCGTTCTGGCCTTTCTGGAGTGGGTGTGTGCGCCAGGGGCTCTGGCCTGCTTTGGAGCCCTTCTGAATGGGCATTGATAGCGTGGGTCTACCTCCCATGACTTGCAGCTTCTCAGGAGGACCCAGGCAGAGGGCCCTGTGCGTGCTGCTCGCTTTCGGCATCATAGCTGATGCCCGATTGTTATCCGAGGGGCTTTGAAGAGCCCGCCAGCCCAGAAGCACCGTGAGGATGCTGTGCCTGCGGAACTCATCATTGTCACTGTGGCTCATTGTCCTCCTCTCACTGAGCCTTTTCCCATGGAGTGGGGCTCTCCGTGGCAACTGGCAAAGGGTTGGGCGACGGCTCGTTGTCATTCTAGTGGGCACTGGTTTCCAGAGGACACGGAGTGCTCTGTGGGTGTTCACATTTGTTTCTGTGACGGCCCAGAGCACACTTGGCACCGGTCCCCCTTCCTGGATGAAGAAACTGAGGCTCTGGGGGTTGTGGACCGGAGATGGGAGTGAGCACAACCTGGACTCGGGTGTCCAGGGCTGCAGAGGGCGTGCAGGGGTGTGGGTGTGGGTGTGCACGGGTGTGTGTGCACACGTGCACATGCTTGTGTGCATGGGTGTATGTGCCCGTGCATAGGTACATGCTGTGAGTGCTTGAGAAGTCTCTGAGGCTGAGCCCATGTAAGAGCGAGAATGAACTGAGAGCAATGGAAAGGAGTGGGCTCCTCAGTATAAACCCAAGAACAGTTGCAGCTTTGTCTTCTTGCCGTTTGGAGCCACCTCCCACAGCGGCTTGCAGGCCTTTTATAAAAGCAACCTCTGGCCCCAGGCCCCAAACGAGAGCTAGCAGCTAGCGAAGCAGTCCACCAACCCGAGCCTGACCCTGGGTGGGCTGGACGGGGCGGTCTCAGGGGCCCGCTGCGCTCTAGCTCCCCTCCCCTGCTCGGCTTTATGACCGGCATACGGAGACTGTTTCTGTTTACCGGCACCACCAGGACGCCGCTGCAGGCTGTGCTCCAGCGAGCGGAAACCTTGGAGTCCCCGCAGGGTCGTTGCAGAGGCCGCGTGCAAAGCAGCCAGATGTTTTGCAGGGAGCGTCTGGGCCCTGTTACATCAGCGTGGCGGAAGCGTTACCATCTGTGCAAACAGGTCATCCCGGTTCGGCTGCCTCCCCTGTGCGCCAAGGGCTTGGACACGCTCGGAGCCACCACCTTTTCTTTCTCAGATTCTAGTCCTGTCAGTTCAGTGCTGTCCTGCCCCTCCTCCTGGGGCTTGTAGGTGGACCTCTCTGGGCGGGTGGCCATGAGTCTGGGAGGGTAGTTAGGAGCACAGGTCTCTAGCAGCCAAAGTGCACGGGCCCTGAAACGGCTAGCTTGCCCTCTCGGTCTGGTTTTCGCATGAGCGCACTCTGCCCAGGACACCAGGAGCACAGAACAAAATGTTTCCCTTTGTGGAACTTCCCCTGGAGGCACAGAATGGGATCTTCCTGGCTGCCCACACTGTTCCTGGTCAGCTTCCGCTGGCCTGTTTCAAAAGCCCCGGCAAGCCAAGAGGCTCGCTTGCTTCAAGAGCCAGGGTGACCGCGTCTTCTGTTGTTCTGTGGGGCTGCTTCCCTCAGGTCTCCAGCCCCACTGCCTCCCAGGAAAGATGGAAATGCAGAGGCATGGGACAGCCAGCATCTTCTTGGAAGAGGCCATGGTGGGCCCACTCCCCGACAGCCCTGTGGTGAGCTTGTCCTGTCTCTACGAGCCTGGCCGTTGCGGTACGATTCCATCCTTGCCCGTCCAGCGCACCAGGAACAGTGAGCCCCACACTGGGCAAGGTCAGCACCCAAGTCAGCACTTGCTCTTACTCGTGGTGCCAGTGCCCAGAGCGTAGGCTCTGGCCTTGGGGGCAAGTGTGTGGGGCCCACCTGCCTGCTCCGTGTGTGGGGCTCTTCCTGCATGGAGGTCACCCTGCACATTGTGAGCACAGTCATCCATGTGGACACGTAGGAGCCGGTGTTTCTCATACAAAGCACAGATACAGTCAGGGGCCTGGTGGGCAGGCGGTGGCCGGGACAGGGCCAGGGTCCAGGCAGGTGGGTGCTAACAGCTTCCAGGTCCTGAGGCTGCCCAGGAAGAGTTAGTTCCCTGAGCACAGTGAGCAGCTGTGAGGGGCCTTCAATGGAAAGGAGGAGACAGACCATCCTCTGGGCTTCACGTCCCGAGGTGACCGGTCAGGGGCCCTGCACTGCCTCTCACAACCTGCCCTGTGGGGCTCCCATGGCGCCCTCCCCTGGGCACTGCCCCATCTGGGCACACAGGTCCACACTGGGTCACCACCTGGGCCCCCTCACCTCCTCCCTGCCCGTCCGCCTCCTGCTGTCCCTTCTTCACAGCCAGAACTGTCCTTTCCGTCTGGGAAGTCGCTGAGCCTCTGGGCAAACTTTCTACCAGAACAATACACGGACCTGGGAGGTGCAGCATTCCCATGGCCTCGGAAGTGGAAGCAGAGTAGGGACAAGGGCTGAGAACCCATGAAGCACCACTGCCCACCTCTGGCCGTGTGCTGAACGTGCTCTTAGACTTGGCCAGCCCTTAGCCACCACCTCGGGGGATTATCTGTAGAAGAAATGAGATGGCCCCACAGCTCCCCGCCCTTGTTCCCTGCCCTTTGTGTAACCCCTAATTGTGTGGCCCAGGCGTGCCAGCCCAGGCATAAAGGAGGCACTTTGACATCACCCACAGCTTCTTACAAAGCCCCTCAGAGGCCTACGTCAGATCGGGCCTCTCAGCCCCCCTCTCCCGTGTGACAGCTATAGGCAAGCCCCTGTACTTTATTTTGCCTGTGCCTTTTTGCTTCTTATCAGCAAGCCCGAGTTCTTTTTTCTGAGAAAGCCCGAGACTGAATGGTTGGACGCTGTACAAAGTCCACCCTGGGAGGGGAGTCTTTCCCCTCAGCTCTGTGAGTAATGTTTTTCCTTTCTTGTCTTTTTAAGGTTCTACCCTGAATCCCTTTTTTACAAAATAGTCCCCCTTCAGCAAATCCTTAAAGGCCTGATCTTGGAAAAAGCACCCAGAGATCATGTCACGCCCCTTCTTAACACCTTGGGTGCTCCCCGCCGACTCCCCTGAGCCCCCCAGCCCTGCCTCAGCTCTCGCCGTCTGCCCTCCAGCCTGATGGCCTCCTTCCGAAGCTCCACGGGAGTTTGCAGGACCTTTCAGGGCAAGATCTAGTGCCCTTTAACCCAGATCTATTTCCCAAGCACTTGGACCTGGTAGCAGGTCTGGTTCTGGACTCGGGGTGTAGCAGGGAGCTGACATTCAGTTTTGCCAAAGGGGCAAGGAGGCCACATTTTCTGACCTGCTCTAACCCACAAAAGGAAGGCAGAATCACCATCAGTAGCCCAAGGCCTATTCCTGCGAGGCCAGACGTGCTGCCTCCCTCCAGCCCTTTCACCAACCCTGACACCAACCGTTCCTCGCCAGCACCCACTGCCTCTCTGCTGGGTTCGATAGTTTGCTGCAATGGCCACACAGAACTCACAGATTGTGGGGTTTATTAGGGAAGCAACAGGCTACAATTCAAGTTCGAGAATGCGCTCAATCTCTCTCACCCGACAGTCTCTCAGCTCTCTGCCAGCAGTGCATGTCTCTTGGTGTCTCTCTCAGCAGTGCGTGTCTCTCATGTCCCTCAGCCAGCAGTGAGAGACTCCTCCTGCCTCTAGGAGGGCTCCTTTTGAGCCTGACAGAGTGGCCAAACCAACCAGTCCCAACATCAGAATTCTATACACCTGAGAGAGAGCACAAACTTCCCAGAAAATTGCTTTGTGCTGCTTCCAACAGAAATACCCCAGGTGGATAACTTTAACAATCAGGAGCTACCCAGTTGCTCATGGCAAATTCCACCATGGAGTTTACAAAGACTTATAGCTAGAAAAACCACACTATGTCATTTACTACACCACAAGTTCACAGGCCAACAAGTCAATAAATGCCCTGGCAGGTGGTGATTCAACCCTGTGAGGAACATAGAGCAGTGGGAGGGGGAGAGAGCGTGAAGGTGTGGCTTTGTAGGGGGAGGTCAGGGACAGCCCTCTGAGAGTACCATATGTGGGCAAAGAACTCGAAGATGTGAGGAGGCCAGCCACTTAAAGATCAGGGAGGGTGGAAGGAACAGTACATGCACCTGCCCTCAGGCGGAACGTCCCAGTCTGTTCCAGGATGACGAGGAGGTCAGTGTGGTGGAAGCGAGGCTCTGAGAGGGACAAAGTGACGGTGTGGAGGTTGCAAGGACAGTTTTCATGGGCCTTTTGCATCCAGGACAGGACGTTGGTGTTCTCTCAGGGAGACTCATTGTTGTGGTACAGCAGTGTCTTCATTCTCTAGCGCTGCTGGAACAGAAATACTAAGTGGACGGCTTCGACACGCAGACATTGATTCTCTCACCGTTTAGGAGGCTAGAAGCCTGAGTTCAGGACCGCCAGCTCTAAGGGAAGGTTTTCTCTCTCTGTCATCTCTGAAGGTCCTTGGCACTTCAGTGTCTGCTTCCTGCTCCCTTGGCTATGTCCATGTGTCTTGGGGTTGATTTTTCCCCATCTCTGCTCTATCACTTGCTTGTTTAATCTCTTTTATATCTCAAAAGGGATTGACTGAAGACACAAACTATGCTAATCTTGCCTCATTAACATTAACAAAGAAAAATGATTCCCAAATGGGTTCATAACCACTATTAAAAAAAAAAAAAAAAAAACCCAAACCCAACCCACTGTGGTAGAGTTGATAGGACAGTGTAGAACTGCCCCATAGAATTTCCAAGGCTTCAAATCCACCAGCCACTCCTCAGAAGGAAGACTGTCGTTGTTGTAATTTGCTATCAAGTTGGACCTGACTCATAGCAACCCCTCCTTGGGTTTCCGAGGCGGTATCACTGCAGAAGTAGATTGCCCAACCTTCCTTCCAAAGAGTGGCTGGTGGGTTTGAACTGCCAGTCTTCTGGTTAGCAGTCAAATGCCTTAGGCACTACGCCACCAGGGCTCCCTTAGAGATGCTGCCTCAGAAACCTGAGGAGGCTCACTGTAAGTCGGAATTGACTCAGCGGCAGTGAGTTGGGTTTTTCGGTAACTTTACAGAACCAGATTGCCAGGTGTCCTCTCCCGCGGAGCTGCTGGTGGGTTCGAACTGCCAGCCTTTTGATTGGCAGCTGAGCATTTTAACCACTGCAGGAGCAGGGCTTCTTACAGCCACGACAGTGGTTAAGATTTACAGCGCTTATCTCAGAGGGGAGGGACATAATCCAGTGATAGCACATGGTTTGGGGCAGAGAACTGCTGTGCTTACTGTACTTTTCAAGGATCACTGTAATGCAGTGTTACAAATACCCACCAAATCCACCACCATCGAGTGGACTCCAACTCGGTGACCCTATAGGACAGAGTGGAACTGCCCTACAGGGTTTCCAAGGTTGTGAATCTTGACAGAAGTAGACTACCACATCTTTGTCCCATGGAGCAGCTGGTGGGTTCTAACCGTGGGATCTAACCACCGCACCCCCAGGGCTCCTTGTAATACAGTATGAGTTACTAATGAGTTTACTTAAACACCATTACCACCACGGGATTTCTCTGACAGTGTGGAGTCTAGATCATGGAAGGGCAGGACGGGGAGCCGGGCATGCGGCATGGAAGGGATTGCACTGTCCAGGGGAGAGATGGTTTTCAAAGGGTCATGGTGGAGCGAGAAGGGAGCCCTTATGGTCCTGGTGTAGCCAGTGTCGTTCCACGTACCGCATGAAGAATGAGCTACCTTCATCCCGAGGGTCCTCCCTGCCCCACGAGGCTTTGTTGATGAAGCTGTTCAACTGGGAAGACACGTTCCCAGCAGCCATCCGACCGCAGCTTGTCCTGTAGTCCCTGGTGGCTCTGGCTGATGGGAGCGACAGCCTGTGGGAGAGCAGGCTTTTTGTTTTGTGGTCATAGATGCTAAACTTGTCTCACAACTGCATGCTTTTGGTCCTAAGGGACCATGGCACATGGTTACCCCATCAGAAGACAGTGGGTCCACAGAGCCACCCTCCATATTTCTGCAGTGATGGGTAAATGGTAACTGTCTTGGGGAAGCTCTACACTGGGAGCCAGGTGGCCTGTGTAACAGGGTCAGTCGGCTACAGCTGGTTCTAGAGCCCAGGCTTCCCTAGGTCTCAGTTTCCCCAGCTCTAAAAGGTGGGCATTGAATTCAGTTGTCTCTGTAATCCATTCCAGAGCTGACAGTCATTGTTTCTAAGACCAGCTGCTGAAAGTACGCCAAAACCAAGCAGGAAAGCTCCATGGCAGTGCTACTCAGCCTCCCTCTGCCAGAGGACCTGGCTTATAAAATGTGATGAAGACAGATTACTAGAAAAAGGAAATGCCAAGGCAGTGCCCGTTACTATAAAACCCAACCCATTGCCATTGTGGTGCTTCCAACTCATAGTGACTTAGTTACTTAGCGCCACTATAACAGAGGTACCACAAGTGGATGGCTTTAACAAACAAATTTATTTTCTCACAGTCGGGAGGCTGGAAGTCTTGATTAAGGGTGCTGGCTCTAGGGGAAGGTCCTTGTCTCCTTTCAGCATCTGTGGGCCTGATGTTCCTTGGAGATGTCTGTGTGTCTTGGCATCTGCCTTGCCCTGGGTCTAGGAGGTTCTCAGCTCAGGGACCCTGTATCCAAAGGACACACTCCATTTCCACCTCTTCTTTCTCAGTGGTAGTGAGGTCCCTCTCCTCTCTGTTCTCTTGTA